AATTCACAAATACACACACACACATATATATATATATATAGATAATAGTAATATCTGCTCTTTGTGCTAAAAATTCACAAAAGATAAATTCTATTTAAATTATCTGCTTCCAGAATCAACTTAATGAATATAGAGAACTTAAATCATGTTATGTACCATATTGGCCTGAATATAAATCAATCCCAGTTTTGGAATACTTGCTTTTTGAAAAAAATAGGACATTTAAGTTGACATTTTATTGTTAAATTAACAATAAAATGTCAACTTATATGTGGGTCCTATTTTTATAAAAAATTGGAAAGTCTTTGAAACAATTCTTCACCATTTTCATCTTCATTATAACTTTCATTGTCCTCATTCCAATTGGTTATTTCATTGCAAACTTGTCCTTCAGCCTCCTCACATGATAGATCACAACTTGTTTAGTGATGCTAAATGCCAGCCAATCAATGCAATGAATTTTAGTCTCATTTCAATCCTGTATGATATGTACTACAACTAGTTATTGAAATCAGAGAAAACTACTCAGGTTCAAATATAGGTAGTGATTTTTTGATCCTTTAAAACACATCACTGCTATTCGAAAATACATAAAATATAACTGTCTATAAAAAGGGTATAAGATAGACTTGATCTCTGGGTTGTTTTCATCATTATTCTACTGTTCACAATAGGCAACATTCATCAAGTAATAGCTGTTTGCTACATCTTTTCAACAAGTGAAGTTTGTTCTGAAGGAAAATCTTTTCTTTACTAATAATTTTTTCCGTAGAACAAATTTTCCCGTTTGAGTTTTAAATTCATAAAAATACTTTGACAAAATAAATTCCTTTATTAGTTGAGTCGACTAATAAAGGAATTTGATGGAAAATTTTACATGTGTCTTTGGAATAAATCACAATACTAGTGTTTACTACGCCAAAATTATTCTAAATGTATCTGTGAGATCAGCTGAGATCACCAAAAGATTTAAAACTGCTAAACCATGAAACAAGACNTTATTACATTATTTACTACTTTATAAAATAAGTATACAATCAAACCTGCAATAACGGAACCTCTTAACAGCGACCATTTTTTCCAGAACGTTTGAGGCAAAATAACCTCATCATCTCTCAAGTGTCCGTTGTTCAGAGGTTTGATTGTAAGTATATATTTAAATAATCAACTAGAAATTAACTTAAAATAATAAAAAGAGATATTTTAAGGTAAATTTGATATAATTTACCTGAAAAACAATATATAATAAATGTCATTTTACACACTTCTCCAACTAAACTGTGATGATTTTACTGATGAAAATACTCTAAATATCTTAAAAATTCATCTAATACATATAGAGTGGTCACAAAGGTTCAATAACATGGGACTCTATCAAGTCTGAAAGAATCTCAACAAATTCAGTGGATGACAGATTGGATATTCTTCAGATATAACTTATTGTGGTATTCTTGAAGTGTAATATGTAAGTTTGTTTTAAGATATTGTAAAAGTTGAAATTTCTGTCTTGCAACAGTTGAGAATATACACTGAGGAATACATTGAGGAACTATTTATCTTCTATGTAAATCAGGGATCTCCAAACTTTTTTGACTGTTGACTCCTACAAAGATTCCTCAATTTTTTTATCAACTCCAATCTTTATTTTGTTAATACAGTTAGTAATAATAAATAAATAAATCTGAAGAGCTTATACTAATCCATACACTATTTTCATAGAAAAGATCTATGTAGTGTGAAAATGTACGTTCTGAACATATACATAACCCATTGGGCTAATAGTTTTTAATGAGCCATTTTTGATTGGCCCCTGAAAATGTCTTAATGACCCTGTTGGGAACCCCCAGTGTAAATGGTTAGAATTCATTAATGTCTAGAACATGATGAAGAATCAAAACTTGTGCAAAGAAAGGAAAGGAACAATTATAAATAACTTTACTAATACATACAAGATCTTTGTGAATACTTAGTAATGTAGTAATGAATGATTTTTTAACATAAATCTGAGAGAAATTTTAAATAATTTTAATTAGATTGTCATATATTATCCAATTAATGATTGTTACAAAATAAATGCATTGTTTATATTATTTTTTAATGATAATTAAAAACAAATACTTTTATACATTTTTAATGAAATAAATAGATGCGTTTATAATTAATTATTGATAATATCACATTGTGAATTGTAAATTATTTAACAATTAATAAAAGTTTATAACTAATGCAGAAACGTGTTTTATATTTTAATTATTAATAAATGCTTTCTTTCAAAAATACATTAATAAACTGAATTCTTGTGGATGAAGGAAAAAGATGAACTTTTCTCAAGATAATGCTATCAAACTGACTTTTTTTTTCAGGTAAGTAAAGACTTGAATAATTATATTTGAAACTAAAAGTCTAGTTAAGTTTACTGTAACGTTCAAAAATTCCTAGATTAAAATCTGTTACACTACTGGATCAGACATGCAATGAACATTAATATTTCAGATGATACAATCTATTACGTATGATATACTGTAAATGAGGTAGGTTGCATTAACATATTTTATTATGTGAATTATTCAAGATGAATTATCTACAAAATTAATAAATTCAATATAAGATGAATTGTCCTTCCATTTATTCAATATACATTCTTCATTCCATATTTGCCACTCTTGGTTTGTTAGATTACAATATAATCTAACTAAATCCTGAGGCATATAAAATCTTCGTTCAGGAGTTATATTTTGCAGTTTTGAAGCATCTTTAAAATGAACAACAAGGAGATGTAAGTAATCCAATAAACTTGTAGATAGATTAGAGGTGATATTTGATATTGCATGTATAAACAGAATATCATATTGGTGCAGAGAAGATGTCTGTAAATAAGAAAATATTATTAAATTTAATCAATTACAGGAGGATATTTTGTCACTTAATGCTAGATTTGTTAAACTTATTAAATCTACTGAATTAATTGTGAGAACAAAAAGGTTAAACAAACAATTTACAAAAGCTAGGTTGTAAAATGTAGGAAAAAAGAGGTTAGTAGAAAACTTGCTGCTAATTTGTACCAATAAACAATTACTAAACAACACCATGTAAAATTCATTTTCATTTCCTTGGTTTCATAGTAATATGATTATCAGTACAGAAAAACAATTAACTTTATTATTATATTTATATCATAACAACATGCCAGATAATTCAAATAAAATAAATTTTCTGTCATTATGAAATATGATTAGTTAAAAAATATCCACTTTTATTAATGCTTAGGAGTTTCATTTTCTTTAACCATGTTACAATCAAGTTGATAATTTTTTGTAGTATATAGCAATATAATATAAAGATTTCCATAAATATTGAAACTTTTTTCTTTTATTAAACTACTAATATTGTAAAACATTATTATTAGATTATTTGCACATTTGAATTTTGCACCAAAAATTAATACATTGCTACACTAATTGTTATTCTATTCATATTACATGTGCAAGAAAATTCAGAAAAATTAACTTTCTCTAAATGTCCAGCATGGTTATGCTGAAAATACTGCCACCACTTAGAGCCTAATGTCTAAAAGATAAATTCTATTCACAAAATCAAATTACAGGCATCCCTCATACAACACAGTTTCACTCTAACATGGTTCTAGAATTGAGGAAATCTGTACAACATGATTTGCTCCAACAAAAATTGGAGACATTCCCATACAAAACGTCAGAATTTTAAGTGCAATTCATTCAATATTTTTAAATGAGCATGCATGTTGTCTCATATTTGCCCAGAGTTTAGAATATTGAAATATTCAATGGTGCCTTTCACTTGTTTTTTTTTAAATGAGAACTGATTGTACCATTTTTCTTCTTCCATGTCCTAATTTAACTTTCATTTTAAACTAGATGTTGCTGTCATTGATGATAGTGATGTAAATGAAACTGAAAGACTGACTGTATTTTGTTTTATAGATTAAAAGTTATTACATAAAAAAATTAAATTTTTAAAGATATATTTTCATTTGCTTACATTTGCCTAAGATTTTATGAAAATGTAGAAAAATACCAAGATGTTGCTGATAATTGAGATTAAGGTCAACAGGAAAGCTCAGATGATGATATTTTGCTAAAAAGAAAACACCCTTATTTAACAGTGTTTAGCAATAAAGAAAAAAATTAATATTAACATGCAATACTTTTGATTATGATTATTAGAGAATTCAATAATTAACTAATAAACATATTTTAATTGTGAAAAAAAATAATATACTTTTGCTAACTTTTGGAACTTTGTTTTGTACTAGTCCTTTATTTTTCATACAGCATGGATTTGCATAACAGCATTTTTTCAGAACCTAACTACTGTGTTATACAGGGGATACCCATATTTGTTTTTTTTTTTTGTAGTATATAATTGTGTGATATAAACATGTCTCAAAATTTTAGAAGTTGCTTCTTTGCTTTAATCTAAAATATTGTTTATTAATCATTTTCAAATTTGAATTTCATGCAAAAACTTTTAAAATAAATTCAGTAGTATCAGTTTTATTAATAATTAACTTTATTCAATTTTGTAAATACAGGTAACCCCCATATAACACGGGAGTTATGTTCCAAAAATTGTTATGCAAATCCGTGTTATATGAAACAAAGAACTAGTGTGAAAAGGGGGGTTAGGTTCCAAAAATTAAAAAAACATGCTGTTAATTAAATTCTTATTTAAATCGGATTTATTATTCATTTTTTTCATAGGTAAAATACTTATTTATTATTTAAGTAAATATTTTACCAGAGGATTACTCATCCTATATGATGATCTCAGCATGAGCATCATCAACTGGTAACAGTTTTTGGGTGAGTTCGTTAATAGCGGTCGCTCTGCAATGGGAGTACACTGCAGTTTGTAGGCATTTAGGAATGATGGTGAAAGAAAGATGGTGGCACCCGCACTATCGATAGTATTGCAATGGAGGAATTTATAATTCTAAAATGAGCTTTTAGAGGCAAAAGAAGGGTCCCAATTGTAAAATTTAACCATTAAATGGATTATTTGTTGAAAGAGCATTCAAAGTAGCCATGAAAACAATTAGAATGCTTGCGCGGAGTTATGCGGAAGTATAAAAGAACGCACCCTTTATTACATTTTATGTTGTACGAGGATTTTACCCAATTCCCGAACTGTGTTAGAGTAAACCTGTGCTATAAAACCACTGTGTTATATGGGGGATGTTCCCAATTCTCGAACCGTGTTAGAAGTGAATCCATGCTATAGAATTGCCGTGTTATATGGGGGTTACCTGTATAAGTTTTTCTGCCCTAATAACCTCACACTACTATGAGAGCAAAGAAAAAACTATCAAGTAAAAATATTCATTTCTAGATGTTATATGATTAAAATTTTTATTGATTTTCAGATTTTATTTTATTTTTTAACTACTTTATATATTGAAAATGAAGTTAGAAATTTTTTTTTTTTATTCAATTTAGATAGCAGAAGTTTCTAAAAAATTTTGAAATTAGTTCTGTTCTAAACCAGTAAAATCATTTTTTTGCAAACTTTATTTTCTATTTGAATTTTGCACCAAAAAGTTTTCTAATATACACCTTATACCTTAATATATACCTTACTTTTTCAATGGCATATTTATATATGCCATTATTGAAAAAATAAGGTATATACTTTGCATTTTAACACAAAGAAACAGCAAAATTTTGAAAATTCAAAAGTCAATTTTTGTACTTAATCTCAAAATTCATGAAAAATTTGATCCAATATTGGTCAGTAATTAGCCACTCACTGACATCTACTTTTGGACCAGTTTTCATCCCATTATCTCTATGGGGCCAATTTACCATCTTATCTTGCTATAGCCTTTGTTGATTTGTAAATGTTAATGTACAAATTGATGAACTTTATAAAGATAAAAACTTGGCCGACAATATTAACATTTACATTAAAATATAAAATAATGTGAAAATACAAATACTGTCTTTGTTTTCTTTTTTCTTCCTATTGTTTCAAATGCCAGTGACAGTTCAAAACAATTTTCATCTATGGAGACAACCTTTTATTTGAAGCTACATTATGTTAAGAACCCTTTAATGGATATTTTATGTCAATATTGATGCATTAATAGTAGAGAATAAAGAAGTAGTGTTACTGTAAACATGTTAAAGAGGAACTGTCAGGTCCAAAACATAAAAGCAGAGTGTACAGGTGACAATAAAGATATTTTGTTTTAATTTTCTGACTAAGTTCTCCTCTATTTGAATCCAGAAATTACACCATTGTAATAAGTCCTATTAATAAACAAAGTCAAAAGTAGACAAGGGTAAAAACAGAAATCAATAAAAATAAGGACATAGAGGCAAAAAGAATTAAGATTTATCACATTTGTACTGCTTTCAAGCTTCACAATAAGTTCTTTTTTCATCTCAATCATCAATATTACAACCTTCCTCTTAGACTTTGTTGCTTCCACACACTTCTCGGATATCATAGTTACTACTTTGGAGTCTTGATCAAATAATTGCAGATTTCAATTAATAAAACAAATTTATTAAGCGCTCGAATACTGTACAGAGTGCCGGCAGTGTCGTACACGTGGTCAGACAGACTGTCCGGGAGACAAAGACTGAAAACTAAGGGTACGGTAAGTGTTGCCAGGTTGGCCACACTACGTAAAGATTGGTTGAATAAAGTTTTTGCATATTTTTGACAACTGTCATTACTTAACATACAATGTGATTTAATTAGAACAGTTGTAACACATTAAGCTTCTAAACAAAGAATACAATCTCATATTAACAATATTTTAAACTTTTTACTTCATAGTTTGTTTGAATAAAATCAAGTGGAAATATCCTCAGATAAAAAGCATTTACTTAGAGTTTTGGAAAGGATATAATGCCATACGAACAGTAAAAAAAGAATTGTAATGTGTATGGGAAGATGCTCCTAAACATGGAACATGTCAAATATGATTTAAAAAGTTCCTGTTGGGAAATTTTGAATTAAAGGATACAAAGTGTACAGTGTGCCCAAAGTGTTGACAAAGAAAAACTGCAGGAAGAAATTGTCAAGTCAATGAATAACACACAATATATATAATCAAACATATCAAAAATAAAGCAAAAAAAGCATTGAAAACATATGAGTGTAATGACAGAGAGAGAAACAACTTGAGTGCACAACAGATTGTGTTTGATGTGTTTTGTGAATGTGCAGTTCAAACTTTAAAGCATCATTTGAACTATGAGTCAAATTTAGTGTTTGAAGTACAAGATACCAATGTACCTATAATAATTATATTAATTTCTGAATTATTTGAACTGTTATTTGGCTAACTTAATATTTAATATAACAGTGGCGTGTGGTGACATTCGATGATAGGGCAGCTGTGCAGGCCCTGGATAGAATCATTGGAAGCGTTATGTCGTATTTTGGTGTGTAGCATCCATGATCTAAACTGCGTGAGGTTGGTGCTCTGTTAGAGCAGCCAGATTACACGAATGCGTATAATCTGGCTGCTTTACACAATTCAAATAATTGGACCATGGAAGTTATCCCATATTTGACAATACAGTGCTTCCATTGAGAATGTGCATATATGAATTTATGTTCGAATATACAATTAGCATCTTATCATTGTTTTCACATGTAGTATAGAAATTTGTAATACGATATATAATAGTTATAATAAAATATTAATTTTAATTAATTCAAAGTATGTTAAAATGTGAAAATAATCGCACAATATGTATTTATTTATTTATTAGAAAATACAAGGGAATCTGTGCTTCTACAGCTTCCATAGATGGCATGCCAATTTAATATAAGATGAATTTTTAAAGATAGGCAGTTATACTGCTATCGTATACGAACATTAACTAATAAGTACAATAACTTTTGAATTGTATTTAATTTTTATTAAATTCAAAATAATTAACAAAGTCTAAACCAAAAAGGGCATGAGTATCTTTTTGCTTTAATTTTTAAATTCTGTAATGTAGGGATCTGTTTTGCATTAATTAAAATTTAAAATATTAAATAACTTTCACTCCAAGCACACATTAGCAAAAACAATAGCTTAGTACAATGATATACACACACAAACATATACTTTTGTAGTCTTCACTAACGTGTTTGAAGATACCTCATGTATATATGTCACAGCCTTAACAGAGAAGTAGCTACTGAGAAAGTCACCTCTGCACTCACTGGTCATGCCCATAATTCAATTGCAGGTGTTTATGAACTGTCCCAATTATGTAAATTAAGTGTAAAAGTAAATATGATATTTTTAAAATTTTATTTCTATTTCATTTATTTAGTAATGATAATAAAATAAACCTGGAAAAATTAAATAGAAAATTTTATTATTATTATTAAAATTATACAATAATTATTTATGATTAAAAAAGCTTTAAGAATTAAATTTTAAGACTGAAGATTAATTTATATCTTAATTGCAAATACAGTAATACCTCGACTTACGCTACCCTGACTTACGCGAACCCGGAGTTACGCGATTTTCAAATCTCGTCGATTCATCTTTTGTTTGAATGCCACGCAACCCTTGATTACTCACTCCCCCCACACTATTGTTCAGCTTACATGTTCAGATGTGTCACGTCGAATCGACACATAGCTACAATTTGTGTTATTTATTTCTGTGTTTGTTATATCTACGGAGACTCGAGAGACTCTACTATGTCATCCAAACGAAGTAGAACTAATTCTTCTGCATCAAACAAGAAAAGAAAAACTTTATCTTTGGAATGTAAAGTTAACATTGGGTACGTTCGTAAAGTCAAACGAGTTAAACGAGAATGACGTCATTGTTATTCCTATTTCGTTAGACTTTTCGAATGATTCGTTACTAACGCGTTTAACTCGTTTGACTTTACGAACGTATCCATTATTAAAGACTTCAATACAAAAATGAAAATTTGTGAATTGGCAAAGAAGTTTGATCTGAATTGACGGTCAGAACAATTATAAAAAGCAAAAAAAAAAAAAAAATTCTCGAAGCTGTGAAAAATGCTCAATCTTTAAATTCAAGCATCATTCGTAAACGTCACGGTATTATCGCTGAGATGGAAACAATGTTAAAATTATGGCATGATAATCAAGTAAATGTGAAAAATTGTAAAATAATGTAGGCCTAATTTGTTATACATATGTATTATCTAAGATTTTATTAAACATTTTTTTCTAAATTGTTGTTTTCTTTAGTCTCCGGCCCCAATTAAAAATTATTTGTATGTATTTATATGCGAAATTATATCCTGACTTACACGAATTTGACTTACGCGGTTACCGCTCGGTCCCACCTATCACGTAAGTTCAGGGTATTACTGTATTTATTAAAAAATTAAAATCTTAATCCATCGAAATAGGTTGGTTGTAAAAACAGTGGGGAGTATATCATAGACACTTGGTGTCATTTCTTGTGAATGCATGAAATAGATAATTGTCAGTCCAAAGGGTCAGTTATATAGTGTGAATCAACTTTAATTCATGATTGGAATTTAAAATTGGCATATAACCTATCCCTTTCAAATTATCTTTCAAACACAAATAACTTATAGGTTATCTGCTCAAAATTACAGTATATAATTTATATATTTATATACCCAATGCTTTAAAATTACTTTTTTAATTAAAAGATATAAGTAAATATCTTCAATTATAAATAAATTTAAATTAAATTTAATAATAATATACCATGTAATACCTCTTTTTGGAATTCCATCTGATTGTTCATTCTCAATTTCTGATAATAGACACTTTTTTCTGACTCTATAATAATGACTTTTTTTATTGTTTCAGATTTTTTAAATATTTCTAGGTACTCTTCTAGATGATGGGAGATCCATTCAGTTCCTTTTTGTAAAATTTGGACTTCATCTTCCAAATTTAACACAGAATTTACTTTTTTAACTTTGAAACAGTTCTCAAAAAGATCTTTCAATTTTCTGCCATATTCTACACAGTCTTGACAAAACAAAAGAAGAACTTCTACTTTTTTGCTTGAAGATTCTACAAAAGAAATATTAACAGTAAAAAGGAAATCCAGTATTTGTTACTACAAAAATTAACAATAATTAATAACATATTAAAAATTATATTCACTTGAACATATATTATTTTTTTATTTAAATCAAATAACTCTAATATATATAAATTATTACAATTGTGACGATATATTAAGCAGTGGAGAGAAGGTCACAATCTGAAATAAATCAAACATAGATCCTTCTGATACATAGGTTAAAAATTCAATTAATTTATTTATTTTTACACATTACAGTTCACTCAAGTGTGCTATGATAGAAAATATATCCACAGACATAAATGTAAAATGAGGAAAATTGTGGCTATGAAAATTCCCAGACATTAATTATATATGCAATTTTGCTAAAACTAGAAGATAAAGGAAGAAATTAAAGAGAGATAGGATAGAAAACTGATTATTAGATTGAATATAGACAACAAAAAGAAAAACAAATCAAATGGACCACCAACAATATGTCATGAAATCAAGTAAGGACTTTATCATCATCTATTAGTTTTTCATTGTATACTGTTGAAAATATTGTCATCTTTAGTTTTGTACAGTTGGCCACCTTCACCAGCAATTCACAATCCAATTCAAAATATATTCCATGTCCTCTCCAGATTTTTCATCTCTCTTGCTTGGAGTCTGATCATATATACTTTTGTTGACAAGACTATGTCTTGTTTATGAAATTGTATTGCCTCATGTTCTTATCAGCATAGAGGTATGAAAGAGTACATGTAGAGAGTTGATATTTGGCACAGAGTATTAGGTGCCCAAATCATTTGCATATAAAAAAATCAAGACTTGTAGGTAGTCAGGAGACTGAAAATCCAAAATAGCGACCCTCTTCTACAAACAGGCAAAACAGCCACCTCACCCCACTGAAGTCAGGTAGGGGAGAGTACCACCCGCAGTCATTCTAAGAAGTGAACCTTAGGACTGAGGGCACCTGCGTGTGACCTTTGCCCTTTGACCTCACTTTGCTCTTAAACTCTAACGAGAAGAAATTTTTTTACTACCTTTCGATTTGACAGCCGTGCCGATCTTGGATTTACATTATATATCAACGCTGTTGTAAATATCACTCCGCCAATACAAATTAAGTAAATTATCAGTTTTTTAGTAAATTTTTAACGACAGAACAAAAGACACAAAACACGTGGTCGAGGTCAACGTGGACATCAGGGACAAGGTAGGAGAGACATTTTTTCACTTCTCGTTAATTGACCTTTTGAGTCGACAGCCATGTGATCTTGGATTTATATTATATATTGATGCTATTGTAAAATATTGCACTACCGATACAAATTAAGTAAATTATCAGTTTCTTAGTAAATTTTTACAGACAGAACATTCACCGAAAATGGCTCGTGGTTGAGGCAAGTGAAGTTTTAACGATCGTGCCCAAAAGCAGTGATATCAAAGAAGATAGGAGAGTGAGAACGAGACCTGCCTTGAGCATCAAAGTGATTCTGTCTCAGAGACAGTCTTGTCCCAAATACGGTTTTGCCGTTTTACTTGTTTTTTTTTAATTATCTCCTGGTCCTTCCCTGGTTTTTTATTTTCTTCTTTCTCATTTTTTAATATAGAACAACAACCTTTCACCTTGTTTCTGTTAAGTGTCCTAGAGACAAAGAAAGAAATATGGAAGAGCAAAAAGGCAGGAGAGTTCAAAAAAAATATATATATATATATATTGAAGAAATTCAAAAATTATTCTCAATCTTCATTCAAAAAAGGTAAAAGTTTTAAGATTGAGAAATATTGTAAATGACAAAAATCTCTTACACTGATTTTCATGGTTTTATAAATTGGGAAATTAAAATTTTTGACTTCATCTCTGTAATTTTTTTATTTGTAGGGTAATTAAAAGCCAAATAGATCAGGAAAGCATAAACAATCTGAAGAAGTATTTCCATATGCATAATAAAAACAGCTGTTTGCTTACTTATGGAGACTTTTGACTTATCCTATATGTTATAAACTCATACTATATATATTATTCTAACATTAATGTTAATAAATTTAATATTAATAAGAATTATATGCATTAATGTATTTTAGATAATTTATAAATCTTATGCAATAACAAAATTTATACAAGATATATTTGAACTTATGCAATAAACTGATAGAGATGATAATAGGGATCAATACAAGCAACTCTGATCCTACAGAACTGGAGATACTGCAGACTCTTTTAGGAGATACAGGGGATAAACATTTGGTGCTGCTACTGCTCCTGTTGGCTGTTCTGTAAATCATTCATATTTTGCTGTTCATGAGTAGATTTTTATGGATGGCTAGATATTCAAATGGTTGATTATAGTGGCAGCCTACTGCTCTGTGAGCCTGGAATTTATTTCAAACAGGCTTCAAAACTTCCAAGAATATTTTTGAGTGGTGGTCTATTCAGATGTGGGCCCTGTCCCTCATCACCAGCCACCTCATTATGGGCTTGGCTAAACCTGTAATGAAATTGCTAAAAAAAAAAGGTAGATTTTATGGAATCATCCTGAGCAAAGTGATAGAGTTAGATATCTTATTATAAATGCTTCTATTTCTTTCAACTAAGAATTCTAAGAAATAATGAATTTTTCATATTTTAATGATAAGTTATTACAGATGTAACAGCTGTAATTTGCATTTATTAGCAGTAATTGAAATCATAGAGTATTTATGAAGAGAATATACACTGTCAGATGCAGGAAGGCTATAGCAATACAGAATAAATTGATATGCTTTTAATTTGCATTGCACAGTTACACTTACTTTTGTATTTTTGTTTTTATTAGAATGCCAATGGTGCATACAAATTTATATAAAAGTATACAATTGTATAAATAAATGATTAAATTATTTCTTTTTATATCAGAAACAATGTTAAAAACAAACAATAAATTTGTTAATTGTAAAATTATTTGTAAAATTGATGTTTTTCCTTTCCTTACTCCAAAAACTGTACCCGTTTAGTGGAGATTTAAACACAAAAAGTTCAAGTTTTGAAACATTTTCATGCATTTGACATTTGTACAATGCAAGTAATTTCTGCTTCACAGCTTTCCCACACAACATGCATGCTTTACAGGTAAAGAACAGAGGCAACAACATCAAATGTTTATCTTCCTGTATTTCCTAAAGGATACAGGAGATACATTAAGCCACTTTGATCCTGTGAATCAAGGGATGCTACAGGAATCCCTTGGTTCACAGGATCAAAGTGGCATGTATTGACCCTTACTATTACCTCCTATCAATTTGTTACAGGAGTTCAGATATATAAAATAAATAACTTAAAACAATTTACAGGATATATCAGTCCATAGTGGTTGAGTGGATAAAACCACTGAACACTGGTAGTTAATCTTGGGTTTACGCCTCACCAACAGGCTGGCCACATGGAGTTTTCCAAGTTTTCTTCATGTTAGTAACATCTAAATAGAGACCAGTTTTTCATAAAATACCTCCTGAAAGGCATTCCCCTCTCAGCAGATTGTCCATGTGTTGTATTGCCATATTTGAATAAAACCAATTTATTGTATATGTCAATGATCAACATTTTCATATTGTGTACAATAGCAATTTGCCTAACATATATTACAGCCTGAACTAAGTTTATATAATACTTGAGTAGCCAATTTTGTTATAACATTAAAACATAAGTCTCACATCTACATCAGAAGAAAAATCCCAGACCCTAAGAGAGAGTGTGCAGCCAGTACAACACTGGGCCCATGAGTTTTAGGGGGCTCATCAGAGGGAAAAACTTAAAAAATGTCTGTTTTCTGATTATTTTTTCCAAATAATGAAATAACTTTGGCTATTGGCTAACATTTATACTATATTATTTTTCTACTTCTATATCATTATGATATATGTATAAGCTTGGCTTCCGAAAGAGGGGCCCAAAGCAGTCTTTGCACTGACAGCTCTCCATGTTAGCATAAATGTTAGCCAATGGCCAATTAGGATTATTATTTAATTATGAAAGAATGAAATATTCTTTTTTTTTTTAATTTTTTTAATTTTTTTAATGAAAGAATATCTTCTAGCATAAATCATAAACATTTTTTTAATTTGATTTTTAATTCTTTCTTTGGATTTATCTAACTCTGATGCATAAATAACTCCGATGCTATGATGCATAAAACAATTTTTAAATAACATTCGAAAACGAAAAAATCAGTTAATTCGATGGAAATATTGTTCGATAATTTCGAATATCCGAAATTTGTGAAACCATCGGATAAGTGTTCGAAAATCTTAAGATGTTGTATTCGATAGACCGCCTGAAGATGGTAGTTATATACTACTGAAAGTGCTAGCGGATGAGTTCATTCTCCAAGACTCCACTCCTGTAACTCCACAACACGTAAGTGTTATAATCATATAATAACTTTGTTGGCGTGAAGTGTCATTGTATACTATATTATTTAACTCTCATCAAATACTACTACTACATTTTTAAGTTTTCAACAGTAGCTAACCTATTTTTCTAAAAGTTATTTGGGTTTTTCAAGGTTTCAAAAGAATGCTGTTGAGGCCTTGAAAAACCCAAATAAATTTTAGAAAAATAGGTTAGCTACTGTTGAAAACTTAAAAATGAAGTAGTAATATTTGATGAGAGTTAAATAAATCCAAAGAAAGAATTAAAAATCAAATTAAAAAAATATTTATGATTTATGCTAGAAGATATTCTTTCATAATTAAATAATAATCCTAATTTTGTATTAATTTCAGATTCATTTGTTGTGACTACAGGTTGATTATATCACAAGTCTCACAACTGTACTAGATTAAGGAAGAGGAAAAAGTCTGTTCTAAACAATGTATGTATTTTTGGGCTATTCTGTTTAACTTATGAACATAAATCAGCAAAATATTTAATGTACAAAAGAAGTTTGAAATATAATTCTGCATAATTTATATGTATTCAAAGTATTAGCACATCATGATGCTTTAGCAATAAATATTCTTGCGTAATACTTTTCTTTTCTTAAGCTATTCATATCTTGTTAATAATTTTGATTATTATTTCTTTAGATAGTAGGTCTGGTTAGTTATTAAATTCATTTTTCATTATACTATTTCTATTCATTATTATTAAAAATACATGATTTATAAATACTTGTGTTCTATAAACTGAGTAATATAAGAAATAATTTTAAAGTGTTAGAGATATATTATATTGGCTATTAATTCAATTTTTGACATATTTAATAATTCAATGTGTATCATCAATGGCCAATTACAAAATAAGAATGATTGCTATGTACATGGTATAATAGCTGTAATTAGTCATTTTACACAAATTTATAATTAAATTATAAAATCCATGGAACAAGGAAGGTTTTAATTATTCTAGAGAATACACACTAAAAGTTTTTATTGATGTCCTATTATAAATGCTTCCATTTCTTTCAACTAAGAATTCTAATAAAGAATGAATTTTTCATATTTTAATGATAAGCTATTACAAATGTAACAGCTGTAATTACTCACAACAGTTGGTCAGGACCTGCCTTTGAGCACAGCAAGTAGAGAGCATGGTCCAGGATTTCAAAAACAAAACAAAAATATAGAAAAAATAGAATAACATAAAATTAAGAAGAAAATTCTTGAGATTTGCACTAAAATCAACTTTCACTCAAATGAAAGCAAGGAAAGTGCAATTATATTAAATCTGAAATTGAAGATTTTGTAAAAGTGTTGAATATCAAGAAAACATTTTAATCTGTATTTCTCTGGTTGAATCATTCCTATCCAAACCTGATATGGACTTCATATTTTCCAGACCTGCCCTGGAGTTGGTTAATTATTTCTAACTAATATAATTAATAATTGTTGAGTGTATATATTTAAACTATTTAGAAAGTATAGAAATTACAAATATTATTGAACTTACAAAATTGTTTTTAGTTATATAAATTACACATACCAATTTCAGTTTCAATTGCCTCATTGTTTCTGTGATGTGAAGAACAAATATAATGTACTTTTCTCACTGAAAATATCATTTACAATTACTATTTGTTATTCAATGTATGAAAATTAAATAATAATTATATTAATTTAATATTAAAATGATTGCAGCTCCTAAAATTAGTGGTACAAAGTTTTTAGTTGTTAATAAACAATGAATAGAAAAACAAGCCACAAAATAAGAAATTTGGGTCATCTTTTATATTGATGGTCCAAAACTTGGTTAACCAATAAATTTTAACAGTAGTTAAAATTGATTTGAAATAGCTACATGTTATTATTTGCATTTCAGTTGCTTCATTGAAAACAACTAAATCATGAATAGTAACATGTAACTGTCCTAAACTATTTTTAACTATTCAGAAAAATATATCTTAATTTTAGAACTTATTGTAAGACTTAAGTTCCATTTTTGTTTAAGTAAAAGTGAGAAATCTTTAGCACAAACTTTTTATTTTAAAAGTAAAATAAATTATTTAGTATTTTAAAAATTTTTATTTAAATTTTATAACATCTTCAGTACAAAAATACAAATAGAGAATAAATTTAGTCTTAAGATATCTGAAGTAAAAGTTAATGAAAGTATTTGGCAAAACTATGTGTTGTTTAATAATTTTCATCTGAAATTTTTTAGCAATGTCAATTGACAATTTCTGTAGTTCAATATTTAAAACTTTGTATTTACTAAATAGATTTAATGAAAAATTATTAAGCAAATAATTCATTAAAATTCTTTATAAATTTAATTAGCTAAATTCAAATGCAATACTTACAATGATTATTTAAAATCCATACTATGAAAGTGCACATTACAGGAATAATTATTAGAAAAGCAAAATATGGATTAATAAACATTTCTTCTTTTGATTTAATGATCAATGGATCTAATTTAAAATATATAAAATTTATAAATTATTATAATTAAAATATATTTATCAAATACTTGAGGGCAATTCAAAACAAACTGAAACTGATCTTTTTCCTCACAAGATAATCACTATAGGGCATAGTAACTGTAGTCTTTTTCAAAAATTACAAGAATGTTGTTAGTAAAGTATCATGTCTATGAGGGGCATTCAAAAAGTTCCTGGAAAATGGTTATTCGTAAAGAGAATGCTGTATAGCAACCCAAATACTTGTTGTTTCACCCAAATACTGGTAATTTACTTTACCAAATCTAATGGATATTTTGAAAGTATTGATATTTTAAAAATCTTATTATTATTTTCCCATTGATGTTCAATGTTTCTTTGAAATACTGTATATCATTTTAAATTGTTTTGCTACAGAATGCTCTACTAAGGATTACTTTCTTTTTCAATTGAGAGAAATTATTTAATCTTTGCAAATATTTTTATAAAAGATGATGGAACAAGACTGTACAAACACACATCAATAAAAAGAAAAATTGGTTTCCTTAGATGAGGGCGAAAGGAAAGCAATGAAATTCATTAAGACCATGTCAGATTCATTGGCATGTAAGTATTCAATGTAAATAGTCCTCAACTAACAAAACATTTTGTTATTTTTTAAACCAATTTGACATTTTCTTCAGCTAGTTTCACCATATTTTTCAGATTATTATTAATAAGAATAAAAATGTAAAAATTATGCTAATTACCCATATTTTTCTCTATTTTAACAAAACCTCCAATGCGTTTTATACAACTCTCTCCATAGCATTTTTCATGAAGTGGTTCAACCTATTAATTAAAATCAATAGACTCTTATAATGTTTTCTTGGAAATTGGATTAAATTTTATGCACAAGTTACTGTATTATAAAATTTTGTAATTTCCTTTATGTAAAAATTAAGTTAGAATTCAAATACTTACTCCAATACAATAATTTCCAGTTTTTAGATTGAAAAATTCTACAATTAGTTCCTAAAATAAAAATATTGATAGATGTATATTTTTTAATAATATTTTTAAAGATTGTAAAAAAGCTATTTAAATAAATGAAATACATTTATTGAGGAAGATTCTCACACATTCAATTCAAACTACTTTCCTTGGAGAAAAAGACTTTTTAAAGTTTTTTAAAAGTATTTTAATGTAACTTTTTAAAGTATATTTTTCGTAAGTTAAATATTATCAAGCAAAATTATTTTATTGCTTGTTAAAAGGAAAAAAGTATATTGTATTGGAAATAAACTAATCATGGCACTTCCTGAAATATACTATTAAACTTGCTAGAAATCAATGCTTATCATGGATAATTAAAAAATAAATAAATTAATTAATTATAAGATGGAATGTCTAAAAACTATAAAGAAAGCCAAGTGAACAGAGATAAAATCAAATAAAAGTAATTCAACAGGAATTAAAGTATAATAGGAAAAATACAGAAGAAACAAGTTATTCAAGGCACATCATAAGGATGCTCACTGAAGTTTGTCTGACATAGCATTTTACACTAGAATAGATGGGGAAAGGTCCCAGCTAAGAACAAATTGATTTTTTATTGTCTGAATCCATGTCATTCTATCAAGAGTTTTACGTTCTCTAGCTAAGCTAGAGAACGTAAATAGATAGCTAGTAGATAATAGTAGTAATAGCTAGTAGTAAATAGCTAGAGAACGTAAAACTTACGTTCTCTAGCTAAGCTTGAGAACGTAAAACTTACAGGATTCAACCCATCCATTTTCAATGGAAGATTGATTGATATAAATTGTATGGTAATAAGTATATATAGTGATGTTACTGTTTAAGTATTGCAATTTCAATTAAACTTTTAATGCATAATTTAGAATATGATTAAAACTTGCATTAGATCAATGGTTCCCAATTAGTGGTACGCGTACTCCCGGGGGTACGCAAAATTGCATGAAGGGGTACGCGCGGCAATCTAAAATTGGTCGATTTAAAATTTAAATGCAGGAGATGAAGCAATCAAAAAAATTTGGCAATTTACAACATGATGTAGAATGCACAAATTCGTTTATTTATAACTAAAAATATTCTCGAAATTTCATCAAAAAAATGCATTTGCGGCAATACCTAAATGAAATTCTTGCGCAAGAAACAAAAATTGTACAATTAACACAATTTGTTTTCGCGAAATTAATTTTTAAAATTTTTGTCGCTATTGCAATAACTCCACCAACCACCTTCCCATCTCTGACCACGACGAATTAATAGACATTTCATGCAACAGCAGACTCAAGAGTTGTTTTGCAGAGCAATCACTGGGTAATTTTTGGGCTGACCTAAAAGACATTTATCATGTCAGCGAAGCGGCAATAAAATATTTACTACCATTTTGCACAACATACCTCTGCGAGAGCGGATTTTCGACCATGACAAACATGAAAACTAAACATCGTCACCGACTTCAACTCGAAGATGACTTGAGACTGAAGCTGATCAAAAAGCAACCAGATTTTACAAAGTTGTGCAAAGAAAATCGTGCACATTTGTCACATTAAATAACCTTATGTTATTTTCATTATTATTAGAACTGTATTTTAAAGGTAATAAATGTAAAAAAAAACTTATTCTATTTATCACTAGCTGTCTACCCACAGCTTCGCCCTCATTATATCGAATTTTCTCGCATTAAAATGTAGCCTATGTCCATCTCCAACATGTAAGCTATCTCTGTGCCAAATTTTATTAAAACCTGTTCAGCGGTTTAGATATGAAAAGGTTACAGACAGACATTACCTTCAAATTTATAATATTAGTATAGATTAATATGAATTTCTGCTATAAGGGGTACGCGAGTTTGAGCTCTTTCTTGAAGTGGTACGCAGGAAAAACTAATTGGGAACCACTGC